TATTGTCACACTCTAAGAGTTCTGTGATAAATTTTATTCGCAACGGTAGCAGTGACATCAAAATGCCCAATTTCATATTAATTCCAAGCGAGCGAAGAATCGGACTCGGCAGAATGTAAATTAGAAAGTTTGAGCAGTCATGCATTTATTTTGGGATAATTTATTTTTTTCTGTTTAGATAATACTTGGCAAGATTTTTTTGAGTAGTTCTCAACACTAATGACTAAAAATTGGGCAGATAATAAATCTGAATTGTATGGTTTAAATAAATCTTAAATAAATGATGAAACGATCACTCCGGGTACAATTTACATAATCAAAGTACCAAATTGAATATAACATGGAAATGATAAAAAAAATGACGATTTCAATAAGAATGCGCATTTACGAATGTTCACAAAAAACGAAGCTCATTGGCGGCGAGGGATTTTTTTGTATGCGTATGTGCATATTCAGTAGGCTACTTATTCAGTTTTGCATTTGGCCTTAATACCGATCGGTCGATCACGAGCTATTTTGACGATTTTAGTCGAATGCAAGTTACCCTCCCTTGTTATAGCCAAGCAAATCATGAACAGTTACACCTTTGATGAGCTTACAATTTAACATATATATTTAGAGTCTATAGACAACTGGCAACAAGACACAGAAAAGTTGATACTGATGTATCGCTGCTAGATTTTTATAAAAAGTATCTTCTTGAAGGAAAAATCCAAATTTGACAAACAATGCGAAAATATTTAGATCGATAATTGGAAGTGTCACATTAGATGTCATTTGTAATTTTCTTGGTAAGACGACTAAGTTGAGTTCACGAGTTGTCGCGGTCTTCTTCATTTTAACTCTTGATATGTTGTGAAAAACTTGTGATTCATCGGCCATCTGTTTGAGTTTGAATTTCCAAAAATAGGTGCGGCCCAACAGGACTTGCAACCCTCAACTTTGGCCCGCGAATGACAAAAGATTGCCGACCCCTGACCTACACGGTAACCCTTAGAGCAGGGGTGGGCAACCCCCGGGCACGCGTGTCAACTTCAGTGGGACATGCTCCAATGGGCACAATTCGACAGTGTTTGATCCCCTAAGTGCCTAGAAGAGTATATGTGAGTTATGTTTTGTGTAATATTAAGGTACCTTTTGGCCCATGGTTCAATGTGAAACATATTCTAAATTTGAAAATATTTTCCAGATACAGATTCAAAAAGTAAATATTTTTCTTGGGGTCGGAGTAAGAATTTTTATTTTTTAATATATAAATGCTGGTTTTATTTTAAAAATTACACCATCTTTTTATGTTTTTTTTTTAATGTGCCGCAGGGCCTATCCGAATGTGCCCCACAAGTGGGTTACAGTGGGACACTTGACAGACGTTTTTTGGGGCATTTTAGTGAAAAGATGTGTGTCGCTAGGGAATTTCTTAGTTGATGAATAAATACTACATTTACCCCTATCTGCATTCGCCCAGCAAAGGGAAATGAATGTGCAGAATATAGGGTTTTAAATATGCAAAAGACCTTTCCCACTTTCCCCTACTCTTGATCTTAGTGTGCCTATATTTGAGTGTTGCTTTTTTCTTTTTCAGAATGTTGTATATCAAATTATTCGTGTTTTGTCTGGTTGTTCTAATGATTATTTCGATGGGAACAGCAATGGGCCCACGGCATTCTTCAATACTCCCACATCGTAAATGTGAGTAAAGTTCCCTCATAGCAATAAATTAGACCGGCTTCACCCACTGCCTCACTAAAAGCTTATTGTTACTTGACTACTTGACTGAAAAAGTCTGACTTTGGTCTAACGAAAGATTACTAAATGTGATTTGTGAAAATGTTCGGCGGTGTGGCGCATCGTGCTAAGCGTTAGGAATACGCTTGCCACAGAACCGCTGATTACCCTGCGTGGGTTCGCAAATTCGAATCTCATGATGGTAAATGGGAGAGGATTGCTGGAATCCTCGCCGCCGTAGGGTGTGCGATTCACGTAAACCCCGTCGATTACGGCTTCCTCCACCAAAACAAATAACTGGCTAACTAATCTCATAACCGACATGAACTGGTAACCGGTTGAGACGCCGTGTTTGCCATTTGATTAAGTCGTCTCATCGGCTTTCTTCTCCCCCGGGATAAACATGTAAAATCATATTCTAAGTGTAATGAAATACATTTAAAACTGTCAGTATCGACTTATATATATGCACTTTATTTACTTGTTGCAGTTATTGAAGACGATCCTGATTTGCTGGAAACTTGGTGAATTGCGGACCGGGACCTGGAATATGCTATTTTATTTGGTGCATGTTTAAGGATATATAATGAGGAAAATATGTTATAATAAAAGCTATATTTAGTGTGATTACTCTTTGAAAATTATGTATACATAATATACTATACTATATTATATTTTTGTGTTATTCATGGTAGATTATGGGTAGCCTACTGCCGTAGTATGTCAACCAGGTTAGGGTTAGTCCATAATTTTATTCCGGTTTTCGCTATATTAGTTCTATTATGAGCTCGGGATCTGTGTGTGTCAGCCAAGTGAATATATAACTCCTGCCCATAGGTTTCAGTTTATCTACACAACTCGATGTAAAGAAGGCAAACATAATTAGTTATCGCTATATTGCTGCACAACCTGGTACACATACCAAGTTCAGGTTGTGCGCCATCTTGGTGCACATACTTCGGGAGCACCAAAACTTCAGCAACTTCAAAAAACATTATATTCACTTTAATTATCTTAATGGGGACAATGTGTCTGTATATCGACTGCAAGTGGACGTGGGCGGTGAACATTGGCCCAAAAGTACGTATGAACGAGTTCGGCAATGTGCGTGTAAAAATCTCTGAGATCAGAAGTATAATCGTTCATCAATAGGTGACTTGATAAGACGTGGTAGATTGTAAGGTGACGTGCGATACTACGGACATAGTAAGACTGCTTCTAAATATATATAAATTTGAAAAAATCTTACTTGGCTTAGTCCAACAATGTCTTTTGTATTTTAGTTCAATGTCAACATATTACGGATTGCTCCATTTTAATTCGAAAGTAAAACAGAGCATGAAAGTAATGTGGAAAAAACGTGTACGGAATTACATCCCATTATGTGCCTTTTATTACGCTAGAATTTCTTGTGGTTTTGTGCTTTACTGCTTGGAACGCTTCAAAATTGTGTAAGAAACGTCTTAATCCCATAATATTGCAATACGAAAATGTTCACTTTCATGAGGTGGCGGTGTGGACAAAAGCACATAGCCTACTCGTAGATTTTAGACTCGTGCGCGAATTACCAAAGCGCCTTCGTAACTGATCGAAACCTGACGTGTGATTACTGGGCCAAGACACAGCCTGGCAATCAATACTATGCTTGTCGAACACCTAATTAAGGGCCAATTGCCACATAAAGCAACTTCGCTTTGTATATTCGATAACCAAGCGGCTACATAGTATAAAATATTAAACCAACATAATTTCTTGCAGTCAGGCAAAAAAACGGTCAAGTCTAAGATCAACTACCCATTCGGAAGTAACATGACAAAAAAGCTATAAAAAAAAAAATATTATTGGTGCTTGTAAGTAAAACTGTTACTCAATTAAATTTACTAATACCCGCCGACAAGCATAAATTTCACTTTCTGAATTCTGATTCTTGTCACTTTGCTTGTTTAATATAAATTATACGACCCCGGAAAATTATCACAGATGGGTTCGGGACCCACAGTTCGGGAACCACTGGTGTAAAGGGACTGAAACCTTCGAGCAGGAGTATATTCATTTGGCTGGCAAAGAACTTTCCTAAACTCGTAATAAAACTAAACCCAACCCGGTACACACATTACGGGAGTTACAATTTTCCAACCTTTTTTCACTTCAAAGCTTTAGATAGGATAGGATTTCCGTACAATACAAGAATTATTTTTTCACTATAATAACAAGCGATAAAGAATAATTAATAAAAGTGAAGAAATAAAAACACTTTACAGAATCGGGAGAGTAAACAAAACCTACAGTGAAGAAAAACTTTAAATTTGAATGTTTAAAAAAAACTTTAAAAAAATGAATGTTTAAATGAAAGGCTGAAAGTAATGGTACGTGTTCCCTCAACCTGAAATATATAATATTCACACACACTCACTCTGGTAAAGAAATATAACTTAGTTTCTTCAAATATTGTTTTTGCGATAATATTTATTTATTCTAATTTTTTGCAAATCTAGAGTTCTATTTGTTAAACCATCCTTGATTATCTTCTGAAAAGATGAAATTTGAATCAATTTCCATTTTTTTGTCATTTAAATAGAATGAAATTATCAGCTTTGAACTTAAGGTTTCGCTGTCTTTTTAAATTGGCTGTAGTGGAAAAAATTAAACGGTTTCACTACACGGCGAACCGCGGCCCCTCGTCTGGTTACCAGTTCATGTCTTGTATGGGATTAGTGAGCAAGTTATTTGTTTTCGGAAGCATGGACTTGACTTGGTATAGGATTATTTAGCCAGTATTTTGTCTCAGTTGCATGGAATTGAAGAAGACATGACAATATGTAGTTACGTGAACTACCATACTACGCGAGAAGTTTGGCATACCTCCTAAACCCATTATCCCCCACGTAGTTCGAACCCATATAGGGTAATCAGAGGTTCGGTAGCAGTCTTGTTTTCATTGTACACAGTGATATTTATGACTCTGCGCCAAATTCGATCTTTTTAGCAAACTCGGCTAAGGCCTTCCTAGTACCGATGCGACCTCCGTGTTAATCGTTGATAGAACCATAGCTTTGGGAATTACTCTCTTTTTTATTTGAATGAATGATCGAGGCCTCTTACATCAGTACCTAATATTTTCATTTACAGATAAACACTCACCATCTATATTATATATATGCCGTGATGAAGTTGTCAGATGGCTTGCAAAGAGATGAAGCGAAAATATTGATCGCCTTTTAAAGGAGATCACACATCCTGTTTTGCCCGCGTTTCACAAGATTGCGCTAGGTTGTTATTTCCTAAACTGCCCATCTTTTCATCAATCTCTGGTTTTCTGACATGATTACAGTCTGGTATTTTAGTCTTGTGTTCGACAACTGAAGGTGTTGCATTGACGCTGAGAATTGAATCAGGTTCGTGAATTATTACACTATGGGTGGAAAAATTACAAACGGCCACCGATGTGTTTCATCTGACCCACTAGTGGAATTACGACTATAGTTTTCATGGATATAAATTTACGTTGAAAATATCGATGAAAATAATGTCATAATGATCGAGATTGTTACATTGTGCTTTTTAATATTTGAACGTTGGAGTAGCTTTTGTAAATAAACTGTTTTTCATTCATAGTTTTTATTATTGGGTTCTGAGCCTCCAGCTCAGTAACTAAGTCTACTTTCTGTAACTGGCCCACTCAAAAAAAATTGTTTTACAATGTATCTTTTCATATCGCAATTTCGGCAATGTTTCATTTTTGAGCTTACTTCTTACTTTCAGTCTCACACCTTACCGTGTCAGTACTCTTGATCCTAGTGTGCCTATGTTTAAAAATTGTTTTAATTTCAGAATGTTGGATATCAAATTATTCGTGTTTTGTCTGGTTGTTCTACTGCTTGTATTGACGGGAACAGCAATGGCCCCGCCACCCCCACCGCCGCCACCAATGCACCACCATCAAAACTGTGAGTAAATATACCGTTCATAAACTCATAGGCCTGCAATATGTGATACCGGCTTTAAACTCTGCCTCACTAAAAGCTTGCGAAACTGGGAAAACAATGCCAGCGTTGATTGTGTTACTGACTAAATTTTACATTTTCAAATGCATGTTCTTTTCTTAATATTGTTATAAACTACTTGACTGAAGAAGTCTGTACTAATGAAAGGGTTACAAAATAAACTTTGTGAAAGCGTGATATTTTCAAACAAGTCAGTCTTGACATACATGAATTTTATTTTCTTGTTTCAGTTTTTGAAAATGATCCGGATTTGCTGGAAACTTGGTGAATTTTGGACTGGGAGCTTAACTACGATATTTTCATGCTGCAAGTGGAGCATATTTTAATAAAGAACATAATGTAATAAAGCAAGTTATGTGCAATGTGTTTCCAATATGAGGTTTATGTGTTAAACGCGGTAGAGTCTGCGCATATTGCTAGGCGTCGGGAACAGTTTTATCTTTGCGCCACTGATCACACTTACGTGGGTTTGGTTGAAATTCGTTTCGTGGCTGAGTTGAGTATGTGCTAGAAGATATTGAAGCAAAATATTGATCACTTGTCAAACGCAGTAACATATCCTGTTTGCCCCGATTTGACAAGATGAAAAGAGTTGGGTATTTCCTTTAAACTATCAATCTTATCTGCCCTGTTTCTTCTATCAGTAAATGTTAGAACCTGGTAATAATGAACGCATTTTCGTCTCAACTAGACTGCGTTGACGCTGTGAACAGAAGCAGGTGGGTGAATTACGATAAGTTCTCATTATTTAAATAGGAGATAGGACAGCTTAATATTATAGTAAACTACGATTGTGAATCCAAAGGCGTTGTGCTAATCGTTAGCACAGTGATTTATATTACCTCTAATATGATCCAATTATTGGTTATTCAGTAAAAGTGCAGATTTCGCCGGAAGTTTAAACTCTCAAATCATTCCTAACCCCAACTGGATCATTGCTAATTTGGTATTCTAAAACAGTGTTTTCCAACCCGAATCTGTGGTCTCAAATGAGTCCGCAAAGCGTTTGAATGAGTCCGCAACGAGCCAGAAATTCACTGCGGGCCGCTAACGATTTTGCGAAAGTTAACTATCAGCCAAGTTACGATTTACGTTGAAATTCACATAAAACATAAATTCCAATATTCAACTATTAGAATAGCAATTCACTATTCAAAAATTTGGTAACAGGTGACGTGACAGGTCAAAACGATTGGATTTAACAACTCACTTGCGAATTCCCGACGAAAACACCAGCACACGCGTGGTGTTTCTCGCGAGTTCGAACAACAAGAAATAATTTTTTTTTAGTAAGTGTCAATGGTGGCAACCCAAATTTTCTAAATTGAAAAGCGGCAATACAAAATACTAAAAATAAAACGGTGAACACCATACTTTTTTTTTTATGATTGTACGCCATTTTTGTGTCCACGGATTATCATGATATTTTCTGATTAGTATTGCTTTTATTTCGTCGACACAACCGCAGATTAAAATGATCACCATTAAATTAATATTAAAGCAAAGCGATGAATATGTATTTTTGATTTACAAATATACATTAAATATATTTTTAATAAGTACTAAATAAAGTTGTACTGTCTGGAAATTTATAGCAGATAGTAGGATTTTTCTAACGACAATAACAAATTTACAAGATCTCTAAAAAGATGTATTGAAACTAAATTTAATCGGGCAATAAGTTAGCAGATTGCTGTGGCATTTCAAAGAAGTAATGCTATCATCTTGTCGACACAACCGCAAGTTACCATGAACACAATTAAAATAGAAAGACATTTTAAATTCTCGTCCTTGTCATGGATTGAATATAGTGCGACAGAAAAGCCCATTATACACTAAAAAAGTAGGCTCTTTTAACGGGCGCGTAATTGCGGCGAATTTCCGATCTTGAAATTTGTTCAAATTCCGTTGTGTTTTTTATTGCTTCTCCAAACAGAGTACGGTTGCAATAAACGCACCTTGGGCCCCCAAAGGTTTTCGCCAAAGAGAAATTAGTCCGCGACCAAAAAAAGTTGGGAAACGCTGTTCTAAAAGTTGCGAGGGTGTTTTCCTTAAATTCCACATTTTGCATTAGTGACGGGGCCTTCGTATGAAAGATCCAATATTTGTTGTTGCTGTTGAAAAAAAATTCGGATGGACCAAGTAATAGACAAACCTTCCAAACTGTACAAAACTCCGAATCCATGCATATATTACTAGCCAACCCTTACTTACATCAGAGGCTCTCAGTCACGATTTTTTTGTTTTAAGGGAAAATTTTTACCTTGTATTTGTGTGTACTGATTATTTTTACTTATCAATTATTACTGTAATATAAACATATGTTTGCATCCACCTTTAATAATTCGAACAGTAATAAAAGCCAGATTGCGAGTTTCGAGTTTTATCAGCTAATGATGCATTTGATTAGAGGCACAAACATCGTGAAGTTTAAAACAGTAAGCAAATACCTATTTTGCACGATAATAGGCTTCATGGCGAGAAAATACGATTCCGGTATTGTTTCCAATCAAAACATGCTAGACTCTGACATCACAGACTCAATTTTAAAATATCGATTTTTATTTTTTTGAATAACGTATCAAACTTCTGTATATTTCTAGAACTCAAAGAAAAAATGATGAATTCCAAACTATTCGTGTTTTGTCTGAAAGTTATGGTTATCGCTTTGATGGTGGTAGCAGTGGCTCCGCCTCCAATGCACCATTTTTACCACCACCAACATACCTGTGAGTTGATTTTGGAAAAATTTATTTGTATTGAAATACGAGAGCATTACGAATTATTTTTTCATTGGGTTTCTATAAGACCAACTACTTATTTTTCTTCCATGCCGGTGGATTCGTATGCATGTAATGCAAGGATGCTGTAGCAAAAGTCGGGATAGCTATTCTGTGTAATTCAAGAGTCTCGCTGCACAGTAAGACAAATATATTTCCGTAACCTCGTTTCACCAAGGTCAGACCTCTTCAGACAAATTCAGTGATTCACGCCCCCTTATTAGAATTTGTCAAGTCTCGCCCCACCTTAAAAATAACCAGCTAATAATGAGCTACAAAAAACAGATAATAAGGCGAAATCTTGTTTTATTTAAAGAAAATACGTAAATGGGACGTAAATATCCAAAATAAAAAATGTAAATATTTAAAATAGGGCGTGTAAGATTAAATCTAACGAATATATTTATTTTCAATTAGCTTCGCGCCCCTTCAAAAAATTATTGTGCCCCAACGTTTGAGAACCACTAGGTTAAACTATTTTCAAATAAGTCATTATTGTTTTATATTTATTTTATTTAGTTATTTCAGTTATTGAAGATGGACCTGATACCTTAGAAGTTAGGTGAATTGCGATCTGACACCTGAAATACGATATTATATTTGGTGCATGTTTAAGGTGATATATATACTGGAGAGGATATGTAATAAATGGAAGCTACGTGTCGTGTGTTTGATTTTTGAATATTATATATACTTATACGAATGAATATAATATATTATACTTCAGTACACATGTGTGTTATTTATGGTTAATTATGCGAATCTGAGCAATCGTTGGGAACGTTCTCCCACAGTTGATATTCATATGGTCGATAATCGGGTGACTGAAGATTGCTGGAATCCTTGCCGCCACAGGAGTTAGCAGAATAGTTTGTTGGTTACAGCTTCTGCCACCATAAAGTACATGCGAATATTAAAATTACCTATTCCTATATCCGACGTGAACTGACAAACTAACAAGAGGCCGTGGTTCGACTTAGAATATTCCAATCTATTGGCTCCCCTCTCCACAGGGATAAATATGAAAATTACATCCTACGTACCATATATGACTATGAACTTATGTGACTTCCATTTTCAATGCCCAAAAATATGGACACAAAAAACAAATGCTCTATAAAAATTTTTCCATAGATTTTATCAAAAGTGTAAATTACGAAAACAGCAAATATTTGGTAGAATACCGGACTTCAAACGACTCGGAAAAAAATGGAAAAAATATGAGGAATGTTCTTCTAAAGATCGGTATTTACTTCTCTCAAAAACAGCCAAAAATAGTTCTTTGGAAGATTTATACCTGAGATTAGGAAATGCACCAGTAGTCTGTGACACACGAGTGCGAGCATATCAACAAAAGGTTCTAAACAACGGAAAAAATTGTGCGGCACACGAAGAACTGCTTATGTTAAACGATATGCGGGCGGCGAAAGTAGTTTTTAATGCGGTACGGCGAGTATTTTCAATTCCCAATCTATCATCTATGCCTATGACGTTATACTACCCTAACAGCTAGCTTATGCAAAAGCAAAAATCGCATGGTATGAAGTCAGTAACAAAACTACTATTCAAGGCTGAGTAAAGGCGCGATTTCACCCAGTTATTGGTATCTGGCCCTCCCGATATATAAGTTGCACACCCTTGTTTTATATCATGGGACAATTTCAGATTCAGATATGTATTTTTCGTCTTGCAAAAACATTGTACATTTAAACAAATAGTAAAAATTATATAAATTATTTGAACAAAAAACGTACAAAATTTGACGAGAGATAGCGAAAAGACTATCAAGAGTCATCATGTCAGCTACACCATTATAGAATCATAATAAGTAAAAAAAAAAAGAAGTAAATCAGCGAAAGAATTAAAACGAGTTGGGAAATAAAATGTACGTGAGAACACAGAAAAAATGTACGTGACAGATTGAAATGCGTTGAAAAAATATGACTCAAACAAAAAAAATGAGAAATTTACCTTGGCCATTGGCGGAAAGAAAAAAAAAACAAGGTGGCGGCGATTTGAAATTTTGCTCTGAACCGATTCGAAATGCCCAGCCCTAATTACATGGCAAACTGCGGCCTCACGTCTGCTTACCAATCCTTGTAATATATAGGATTCTTTTCCCTGGTATGCATGGACTTCAAAGAAATCATAATAATCTGTGTCACGTCACGTGAACTACCCTGCTACGCGAGAAGTCTGGCAATCCTGTGAAACTTATCGTCCTCCACGTAGTTCGAACCCATATAGGGTATAATCAGAGGTTTGGTAGCAGTCTTGTTTTCATTGTACACATTGATAAATAAGACTCTGCGCTCAATCCGATCTTTTCAGCAAACTTGGCTAAGGGCTATCTCGTACCAATGCGACCTCCGTGTTAATCGTTGATAGAACCATAGCTTTGGGAAATACTGTCTTTTTTATTTGTATGGATGATCGAGGCCTTTTATATCATTTCATTCACATATAAAACCTTACCAGTGGCGACACGCGACGCTTTGAGTCCAAATATTTAGTTATCTATTGTAGTTATCTGTATATATATCTGATTTCTTATTCGCGATATGGATATCACATCTATATTACTGGAGCGATAAAATTGTCAGACTGCTTGCAAAGAGATAAAGCGAAAATATTGATTGTCTATCAAAGACAGCATCACATCCTGTTTGTCCTACGTTTCACAAGATGAAATGAGCTTATTGTTTTCTAAAGTCTGAACTGTCAATCTTTTTCTAGTTATCTGGGATTGTTACAGTCTGGTATTTTAGTTTCGTGTTCGACAACTGAAGGTACAGCATTGACGCTCAGAATTTAATCAGGTTTGAGAAATATTACCTAGGGGTGGGCAAATTACAATCCGCGGGCCGGAACGATGTGTTACATCCGGCCCACTTGTGTCGGCTGAAATTACGACTATAGTGTTTACAGATATAAAAATATATCAATGAAAATAATGTCAATGACGACAATTCTTACATGTGCTATTATATGAACGTTGAACTAGCCTTCGTAAATAAACTGGTTTTTATTCATAGTTTTCATATTGAGTTTTGAGCCTACGGCCCAGTAAAGTCATTTATCTGTAAATGGCCCACTCAAAAAAGTAATTGCCTATTCCTGTATTAAACTGTATCTTTTCGTATTGCATCTCCGGCGATCTTTTCATTTCAGCTTACTTGATAGTCCCAGACCTCACTGTGTCGGTACCATTGATCTTAGTGTAGCTGTATTTAAGTATTGTTTTCTTTTCAGAATGTTGGATATCAAATTATTCGTGTTTTGTTTGGTTGTTCTACGAATTGTTTTGACGGCAACAGCAATGGCCGCGCCGCCTATCCAACGACCGCCACCAATGCATCACCATCATCATACATGTGAGTAAATTTCCCGCATAGGGCCCCGCAATAAATGAGACCGGCTTTACCCACTGCCTCACTAAAATTGTGGTTGATTGTGTTATACTAACATACTTAAATGCATGTTCTTTTCTCATCATTGTCATAAACTAGGCTACTTGATTAAAGAAGTCTGACTTTGATCTAACGAAAGGATACTAAATGTAATTTGTGGAAATGAAATGAAATACTTTTAAATCAGTCAGTATTAACTTATACATAATATTAACTTTATTCACTTGTTTCAGTTATTGAAGGCGATTCTGATTTGCTGGAAACTTGATGTATCGCGGACTGGAACCTGAAATATGATAGTTTATTTGGCTCATGTTTCAGTGATTTAATAAAGAAATATGAGTGATAAAGCAAGCTCTGTTTAATGTATTTGCAGAAGGAAGTGCAGTTTTAGTTTTTTTGTTTTCATACATTTGAGCATTTATTTCGTGTAGGCGCAGATTCTGCAATTTTATATTGAACTAACTAGAATCCTTCAACTTAGTAGTAGTAGTAGTAGTAAAGACAATAGGAAGACTTTAAAAAAAAAATAAATCTTATCTAAAATGACTTGTTCGTATAATGAACCACGACATCCCATCGGTTTACCAATCTTGTTTTGTGATGTGATAGTGACCACCAACAGACGTAATTAGCCAGCCTGAAATCTATAGCGTAGAGCCGCATTCTCCCACGAAATTCGACCCTGTGGAGCCGTGTAGGATCAACAGACTTTATAGGGCGCAATCGTTTGGTTTCTATATAGGGGTAAATTGTTACGCAGCGTTGAATTCCTTTGTTTTCAGCGAATTTATTGCTCGTCTGAGGCCTTACTGGTCAATACGCGACTGGTCAATACGTGACATCCGTGTTAAATTTTTTTAGTATTGCTCTCTCGTGGTTATCTCAATGTTCAAGGCTTTCACCCCAGTGGCTTTGTGTACAGATGTACAGATAAAGCCTTACCGCCGTCACTGAGAGATGGTTAAAGTCGCTAATAAGATACAACGTTCTTTTTTCCATCTTTAGGAAACATGATATATCACCGTGCTGTTTTATTCTAATTAAATTTAATTAAGGGTGTTGCTGAAAGAAGCGGTACCTGTTCACTACACCTAAAATATAATATTAATTCACACACAAAAAACTAACTTGGTTCTCATAAACATTGTTTTTGTAATAGTTTGTTTATTTATTCTAATCGTATGCAAATCCGTTTGTTAAACCTTTACTTGATTATCTTTGGAGAGTCGAAATTTAAATAAATTTCTGTTTTTTTGTTACATTTAAATAGAATAAAATTGTCATTTTCGAACTTAATAGTTTTACTGTCTGTTTCTCTCGGCTGTAGTGGAAAAAATAAGACGGTCTCATTACATGGCGAATCACGGCGTCTCGTCTGGTTATTAATCTATGCCTGGTATAGAATTAGTTGGCCAGTATTTCGTCTCAGATGCATAGACTTAAGGATAATAATTGTTTTTTTACGCAAATCACTCTGCGATTTAAGCAATCCTCGCGCACTTGATTTCCCCCATACAATTCGGACCAATGTAGGGTAATGAGAGGTTCGGTAGCAATCTTGTTTTAATTGTACACTGTTGGTAATTATGACTATGCGCCGAATTAGATCTTTTTAGCAAACTCGACCAAGGCCTTCCTCGTACCGATGCGACCTCCGTGTTAGTCGTTGATGAAACCATAGGTTTGGGGACTGCTCTCTTATAGTTATATGAATGATTGAGTTACATAAGTAGCTACCTAAAATTTCTTCACAGCAGTTAAACACTTACCAGTGCCGACATGCGACAGTTGAGTCCGAGTATTTGTGAATTGCTCTATTGTATTCCTAATGATATGGCGAATCGTCCGTTTACCAGTCCATGTCGGGTATGAAATTAGTTATATGTTCACGAAAGTATGGATTCGATGGTTGTGGAGCCGTAACCGACAAGCAGTTACGTGAACCACCCACCCAACGGCGGTGAGGAGTTTAGCAAACCTCTAGCACATAACTATCCCCGCATGTGTTTCTAAACGTGAACCCATGCAGAGTAATCAGAGATGCGGTGACGAGCGTTCACAGCAGTTAAACACTTACCAGTGCCGACATGCGACAGTTGAGTCCGAGTATTTGTGAATTGCTCTATTGTATTCCTAAGGATATGGCGAATCGTCCGTTTACCAGTCCATGTCGGGTATGAAATTAGTTATATGTTCACGAAAGTATGGATTTGATGGTTGTGGAGCCGTAACCGACAAGCAGTTACGTGAACCACCCACCCAACGGCGGTGAGGAGTTTAGCAAACCTCTAGCACATAACTATCCCCGCATGTGTTTCTAAACGTGAACCCATGCAGAGTAATCAGAGATGCGGTGACGAGCGTATTCCTAACGCTTAGCACAATGACTATATGCAGCAATTAAGTTGGCAGATTTGCAGTTTTACTGTCTGATTTCAACTTTGCGATATGGATCTCACATTTATATTACTGGAACAATAAAAATTGTCAGACGACTTGCAAAATGGAGCTGAAATATTGATCGCCTGTTAAAGGCAGCATCACATCCTGCTTTGTCTACGTATCATAAGATGGAATGAGCTTATTGTTTTCTAAACTGTCAATCTTTTTCTCAATCTCCTATTTCTTCTAAGGCTACAGTCTGGTATTTAAGTATCGTGTTCGACAACTGAAGGTGCGTTGACGCTGAGAATTGAAGCAGGTTTGTGAATTATTATTTTTTTTCGTATTTCATCAATCATTTCATTTCAGCTTACTCCGACACTCTAAATCAGGGTTACTCAACTATTTTTACCTAAGATCCGCATACGTAACTTCAAAAATATTTGGGTCCGGTCTTCCCAGAAATTATATTTCGCATACTTGAACGCGCACTTTCTCGGCTGAATAATGATTATTAGCTAATCAAGATTGTTTATGATGGCGTTATAGTTCTTTTCATATATATTCAAAACTATAAAATTGATTTTATAAAAGGAAACTGCAAAAGTGGGGCTAAGAATTTAAACTAAAGAATTAGTTGCAGTCCGAATCAAATACTCGAAAGGTCCGGATTCGGACCGCGGTCCGCCAGTTGAGTATCCCTGCTCTAAGGCAGGGTCGGCAACCTAAGGCCCCCGGGCCAGATCCGGCCCGCGGAGTAAAATAATTCAGCCCGAGATGCTTCACAAAATAATGCGACAAAACTGCTGTTTCCGCGATTATATTTTTTACGTAATTTATTGCCAGACACGTGAGATTATATTATAATCCAGGGGTGACCAACACGTCGATCGTCACGCCTCGGATAGTCGATCGCGTCTGATGTTGAGTGAATTCAATAACTTACCCCCAAAATTGCTTTGAAGCAATTTCATGTACCGCATATTGAGTGTTTTCAAACAGATATAATACAGTACTTACTGTGCATGGGCATAGATAGAGCATAATATTGGACACGTCAGTGGACATAACGATCGTTTTGGATTTTATGCTGGCACTCTTCTTCTTGTTGGTCTTGTTGTTCTTTGACACGTTTTCAAAAAATCGCTTTTTTCTTTTATTACTGGACCAATTGCTTTGGAATTTTCAATGATTAAAGATTGATTTTTTCGCCAGATGGCTATTACCTCTATTTATTTCAAAAATTCCTGTGAACTTTAAGAGATTCGTTTATTATGTGTCAGAATAAAAAATAGCGGCACCTCGTGACGTGTCCATAAATTTGAGCATAGCTCTCTTGTTATGTAACAAATGCAAGTTGCGCTGCAGCCAAGAAATGAACATGCCAAATATTGCGTGCCTTGACTGAGGAACGATCCTACAATAACTTGCAAGATCGAAAGTTATTGCCATACTCTAAGAGTACTGTGATAAATTTTGTTCGCAACGGTAGCAGTGGCATCAAAATGCCCAATTTCATATTAATTCCAAGTGAACAAATAATCAGGCTCGGCAGCAATTGTAAATTAGAAAATTTGAGCAGTCATGTAACATTTATTTTGGGATAATTTATTTTTTGCTGTGTAGATAATACTTGGCATAGTTTTTTGAGTTGCTTTCAACACTAATGAATAAAAATTAGGCAGGTATTAAATCCGAATTGTATGGTTTGAATAAATCCTAAATTAATGATGAAACATTTACTCCGTGTACAATTACATAATCAAAGTAACAAATTGAATATAACATGAAAAATGATAGAAAAAATGACGATTTCAATAAGAATGCGCATAGAATGCAAACAAAGAGCCGAGCTTATTGACAGCAGCAGATTTTTTTGTTTGCGTGTGTGCACATTCAGTTCTCATTCGTTTTTGCATATGGAATCATTACCGATCAGTTATTTGGACGATTTTTGTCTCTCGCGGTCGAAAGCAGGTTGGCCCACCCCTGTTATTTATAACCCAACAATTCATGAACAGCTACACCATTGATGAGCTTAAAATTAATGTCAACACGACACTGAAAAATTGATACTGAGTGCAATGCCCTGAGAAAATAGAATCTATATTCTAATCGAGATAGGTATTGCTTGATTTTTATAAAAAGTATCTTATTAAAGGAAAACTCTATGAAAATTGGACAAACAAAATGTTCATTTTCGAAAATAATAGTTTGCACGCATATGTAGGCCTACTTCCAAACGAAGTCAATTTTTTCGCATGGTTTTCAAATTTTGATAGAGATTTTCTTCAAGAAGATACTCTTTAAAAAACCGAGCAGTGATGTATCCCTCAATTAGAATATGAATTTTATTCCCTAATTGCATTTCATCTCAAGGAGCTACATTTGAATATTTATATTCTTGGCGCCATTGAACCTCTGCACTCTGCATCCACTTTTCTGCGTGTTGAAATTTGTCTGATTATAATTAAATTGTATTTAATGAGTAGTTAGTTGTTCACCGAATTGTTAGTTTATATATATTATAATTTAGTCTAAACGTGTTTCGCAATAAATTCTGTTACGTAAAGAATATAATATACTTTTCAAACGTAAATTATTTCATCGTCAAACCCGCCGTTTTTTCGCTTCAGCGTACCGGACCGGATTATTTTACTCCGCGGGCCAGATCTGGCCCACAGGCCGTAGGTTTCCGACCCCTAGTGTAGGTAGGAGCACACATGGAGCACAGTGGAAAATTAACTCTCCCACTCATGCTATATCCGGAATCATCTGTGGTTCGATGCTTGAATCCGCCCTTAGGTGAATTACAACGTCCGCAAACGGACAACGGCATTGTATGCAACACAAGCTATGGGGTAAAATTGGTTTTGGGAGGTTGACACTAGTTAGACACAAGTTTTTTCGTATTTCTACTTTAGCCCTCACAATATGACAAACCACCATCTGATATTTTTCAACTTTAGTCAACTGTAAAATATTCATAACGTTGAAGTGTTGATGTGCCTTTCTAATCTCGACGTGGGACAGTTTGAAAATATTTGTTTTCCATGGGAGACAATGGGCCGGGGTTCAGTGGGACATGCTCCCATGGGCACAGTTTGACAGTGTTTGATCCATTGAGTGCTTTGAAAACTAGAAATGCGTTATGTTTTGTGTAATATCAAGGTACCTTTTTGGCCCATGGTCCAATATTCTAGATTTAAAAATATTTTTCAGATACAGATTCAAAAAAGTAAATAATTTTCATGGGATCGGAGTAAAAATTTCTTACTTTTTAATATATAAATGCTGGTTTTATTTTAAAAATTACACCATCGTTTTTTGTTCGCTTTGAATGTGCCGCAGGGCCTGTCCGAATGTGCCCCACAATTGGGGTACAGTGGGACACTTGACAAACATTTTTTGAAGCATTTTAGTGAAAAGATCGCTAGGGAATTTCTTAGTCGATGAATAAATACTACATCCACCCATATCTGCATTCGCCCCGCAAAGTGAAATGAATGTGCAGAATATAGGGCTCAAAATATGCAAAAGAAAGTGTCGCAACCTTTCCCACTTTCCCCTACTCTTGATCTTAGTGTGCCTATGTTTGAGTGTTGCTTTTTTCTTTTCTTTTCAGAATGTTGTATATCAAATTATTCGTTTTTTTTCTGGTTGTTCTAATGATTGTTTTAAAGGGAACATCAATGGCCCAACGGCCTATAGTATACAATACTCCCACATCATCATAGATGTGAGTAAATTTTCAGCATAGCAATAAATTAAAACGGCTTCACCCACTGCCTCACTACAAGCTTACGAAATTGAGAAAAAAAGCAAAATCAGAAATATGTCATTGATTGTGTTAGGGACTAAATTTTAGTACATGCCACCAAGTCCATGCTTCCGAAAACAAATAACCTGCTAACTAATCTCATAACCTAGAAGTCCTAGATGGACTGGTAACCGGTTGAGACGCCATGGTTCGCCATATGATTAATTCGTCTCATCGACTTTCTTATCCCCCAGGGTAAGCATGTAAAATCCCACCCTAAGTGTAATGAAATACTTCTAAAACAGTCAGTATTGATTTATATATATTATGCACTTTATTTGTTTGTTTCAGTTATTGAAGACGATCCTGATTTGCTGGAAACTTGGTGAATTGCGAACCGGGACCTGGAATACGATATTTTATTTAGTGCATGTTTAAATATATATATATAATGAAGAAAATATGTTATAATAAAAGCTATATTTATGGTATTTAATATTTGAAAATTATGTATACATAATATACTATACTATATTTTTGTGTTATTTATGGTAGATTATGGGAAGCCTACTGCCGTAGTATGTCAACCAGGTTAGGGTTAGTCCATAATTTTATTCCGGTTTTCCCTATATTAGTTCTATTACGAGCTCGGGGACTGTCTGTGTCAGCCAAGTGAATATTCCTCCTGTCCATAGGTTTCAGTCCCTCTCTACACAACTTGATGTAAAGAAGGCAAACAAAATTAGATACCGCCATATTGCTGCACAATCTGATAACTCTAACCTGGTACACATACCAAGTTCAGGTTGTGCTTCAAAAATCAGTATACATAGTGAGTGTAGTATACAGTACAGTACAGTACAGTATACAGACGTGAGCGTTGAACATTCGCCCAAAAGTACGTATGAACGGTTTCGGCAATGTGCGTGTAAAAATCTTTGAGATCAGAATTATAATCGTTCTCCCATAGGCGAACTTGAGAAGACGTGGTAGATTGTAAGGTGACGTGCAATACTACGGAAATTATAAGACTGCTTCTAAATATATGTAAATTTGAAATCTTACTTGGTTTATTCCAACAATGTCTTTTGTATATATTTTAGTTCAATGTCAACTCATTACAGATTGCTCCATTTTAATTCGAAAGTAAAACAGAGCATGAAAGTAATGTAGGAAAAAACGTGTACGGAATTACATCCTATTATGTGCCCTTTATTCTTATGCTAGAATTTCTTGTAGTTTTGTGTTTGATTGCTTGAAACGCTTTAAAATTGTGTATGAAACGTCTTAATCCCATGATATTGCAAAACGAAAATGTTCACTTTTATGAGGTGGCGGTGTGGACAAAAACACATAGCCTACTCGTAGATTTTGGACTCGTGCGCGAATTACCAAAGCGCCTTCGTAACTGATCGAAACCTGACGTGTTATTATTGGGCCAAGACACCGCCTGTCAATCAATACCATACTTGCCAACCACCTAATTAAGGGCCAATTGCCATATAAAGCAACTTTGCTTTGTATATTCGATAACCAAGCGGCTACACTAGTATAAAATATTAAACCAACAAAATTTCTTGCAGTCGGTCAGGTACAAGATCAACTTCTCATTCGGATTTAACATTAGATAGGATAGGATTTCCGTTGTCTAATTATATATATAATTAAATTGAAAGCTCTGACTGTACTCTTAAATATGGCAAATCGTCCGGTTATCAGTCCATGTCGGGTATGGAATTAGTTATATGTTCACGAAAGTATGGATTTGATGGTTGTGGAGTTGTAACTGACCAGCAGTTCCGTGAACCACCACCTGACGGCGGCGAGGAGTCTAGCAACCTCTCGCACATAACTACCCCCGCATGTGTTTCTAATCGTTAACCCACGCAGAGTAATCAGAGGTGCGGTGACGAGCGTATTTCTAACGCTTAGCACAATGACTATATGCAGCAATTAGGTTGGCAGATTTGCAGTTTCACTGCCTGATTTCTTCTTTGCGATATGGATCTCACATTTATATTACTGGAGCTATAAAATTTGTCAGACGGCTTGCAAAATGGAGCTAAAATATTGATCGCCTGTTAAAGGCGGCATCACATCCTGTTTTGTCTACGTTTCATATGATAAAATGAGCTTATTGTTTTCTAAACTGTCAATCTTTTTCTCAATCTCCGATTTCTTGTAAGGTTACAGTCTGGTATTTTAGTCTCGTGTTCGACAACTGAAGGTGCTGCGTTGACGCTGAGAATTGAAGCAGGTTTGTGAATTTTTATTTTTTTTCGTATTTCATCAATCTTTTCATTTCAGCTTATTCGATACTCAAAGGCAGGGGTCGGCAACCTCGGGCCAGATCCGGTGGAGTAAAATAATTCAGCCCGAGATGCTTCACTTAATAATTGCGACAAAACGGCCGGTTTCACGAATATATTCTTTACGTAACAGAATTTATTGTCAGACACATGAGTTTATATTATAACCCAGGGCTGGCCAACACGTCGATTGATCGCCACGCCTCGAATAGTCGATCGCGTCGGATGTTAAGTAAAGTGTTTTAAAACAGTAATATTACAGTACTATGAATGGACAAAATACGATATACACATATATATAGTATTTGAGTCTGGACAAGGCCGATAGAGCATATTAATACGTAACAGATGTAATTTTCGCTGAAGCCAGGGAATGAACTTGCCAAATATTGTGTACCTCGACTGGGGAACGATTCTATAATAACTTGCAAGATCGAAAATTATTGTCACACTCTAAGAGTTCTGCGATAAATTTTATTCGCAACGGTAGCAGTGACATCAAAACGCCCAATTTCATATTAATTCCAAGCGAGCGAAGAATCGGACTCGGCAGAAATTGTAAATTAGAAAGTTTGAGCAGTCATGCATTTATTTTGGGATAATTTATTTTTTGCTGTTTAGATAATACTTGGCAAGATTTTTTTGAGTAGTTCTCAACACTAATGACTAAAAATTGGCCAGATAATAAATCTGAATTGTATGGTTTAAATAAATCTTAAATAAATTATGAAACGATCACTCCGGGTACAATTTACATAATCAAAGTAACAAATTGAATATAACATGGAAAATGATAAAAAAAATGACGATTTCAATAAGAATGCGCATTTGAGAATGTTCACAAAAAACGAAGCTCATTGGCGGCGAGGGATTTTTTTGTATGCGTATGTGCATATTCAGTAGGCTACTTATTCAGTTTTGCATTTGGCCTTAATACCGATCGGTCGATCACGAGCTATTTTGACGATTTTAGTCGAATGCAAGTTACCCGCCCTTGTTATAGCCAAGCAAATCATGAACAGTTACACCTTTGATGAGCTTACAATTTAACATATATATTTAGAGTCTATAGACAACTGGCAACAAGACACAGAAAAGTTGATACTGATGTATCGCTGCTAGATTTTTATAAAAAGTATCTTCTTGAAGGAAAAATCCAAATTTGACAAACAATGCGAAAATATTTAGATCGATAATTGGAAGTGTCACATTAGATGTCATTTGTAATTTTTTTGGTAAGACGACTAAGTTGAGTTCACGAGTTGTCGCGGTCTTCTTCATTTTAACTCCTGATATGTTGTGAAAAACTTGTGATTCATCGGCCATCTGTTTGAGTTTAAATTTCCAAAAATAGGTGCGGCCCAACAGGACTTGCAACCCTCAACTTTGGCCCGCAAGTGACAAAAGATTGCCGACCCCTGACCTACACGGTAACCCTTAGAGCAGGGGTGGGCAACCCCCGGGCACGCGTGCCAACTTCAGTGGGACATGCTCCAATGGGCACAATTCGACAGTGTTTGATCCCCTAAGTGCCTAGAAGAGTATATGTGAGTTATGTTTTGTGTAATATTAAGGTACCTTTTGGCCCATGGTTCAATGTGAAACATATTCTAAATTTGAAAATATTTTCCAGATACAGATTCAAAAAGTAAATATTTTTCTTGGGGTCGGAGTAAGAATTTTTATTTTTTAATATATAAATGCTGGTTTTATTTTAAAAATTACACCATCTTTTTATGTTTTTTTTTTTTTTAATGTGCCGCAGGGCCTATCCGAATGTGCCCCACAAGTGGGTTACAGTGGGACACTTGACAGACGTTTTTTGGGGCATTTTAGTGAAAAGATGTGTGTCGCTAGGGAATTTCTTAGTTGATGAATAAATACTACATTTACCCCTATCTGCATTCGCCCAGCAAAGGGAAATGAATGTGCAGAATATAGGGTTTTAAATATGCAAAAGACCTTTCCCACTTTCCCCTACTCTTGATCTTAGTGTGCCTATATTTGAGTGTTGCTTTTTTCTTTTTCAGAATGTTGTATATCAAATTATTCGTGTTTTGTCTGGTTGTTCTAATGATTATTTCGATGGGAACAGCAATGGGCCCACGGCATTCTTCAATACTCCCACATCGTAAATGTGAGTAAAGTTCCCTCATAGCAATAAATTAGACCGGCTTCACCCACTGCCTCACTAAAAGCTTATTGTTACTTGACTACTTGACTGAAAAAGTCTGACTTTGGTCTAACGAAAGTTTACTTAATGTGATTTGTGAAAATGTTCGGCGGTGTGGCGCATCGTGCTAAGCGTTAGGAATACGCTTGTCACAGAACCTCTGATTACCCTGCGTGGGTTCGCAAATTCGAATCTCATGATGGTAAATGGGAGAGGATTGCTGGAATCCTCGCCGCCGTAGGGTGTGTGATTCACGTAAACCCCGTCGATTACGGCTTCCTCCACCAAAACAAATAACTGGCTAACTAATCTCATAACCGACATGGACTGGTAACCGGTTGAGACGCCGTGTTTGCCATTTGATTAAGTCGTCTCATCGGCTTTCTTCTCCCCCGGGATAAACATGTAAAATCATATTCCAAGTGTAATGAAATACATTTAAAACTGTCAGTATCGACTTATATATATGCACTTTATTTACTTGTTGCAGTTATTGAAGACGATCCTGATTTGCTGGAAACTTGGTGAATTGCGGACCGGGACCTGGAATACGATATTTTCTTTGGTGCATGTTTAAGGATATATAATGAGGAAAATATGTTATAATAAAAGCTATATTTAGTGTGATTACTCTTTGAAAATTATGTATACCCAATATACTATACTATATTATATTTTTGTGTAATTCATGGTAGATTATGGGTAGCCTACTGCCGTAGTATGTCAACCAGGTTAGGGTTAGTCCATAATTTTATTCCGGTTTTCGCTATATTAGTTCCATTACGAGCTCGGGATCTGTCTGTGTCAGCCAAGTGAATATATAACTCCTGCCCATAGGTTTCAGTTCCTCTACACAACTCGATGTAAAGAAGGCAAACATAATTAGTTACCGCCATATTGCTGCACAACCTGGTACACATGCCAAGTTCAGGTTGTGCGCCATCTTGGTGCACATACTTCGGGAGCACCAAAACTTCAGTAAATTCAAAAAACAGTATATTCACTTTAATTATCTTAATGGGGACAATGTGTCTGTATATCGACTGCAAGTGGACGTGGGCGGTGAACATTGGCCCAAAAGTACGTATGAACGAGTTCGGCAATGTGCGTGTAAAAATCTCTGAGATCAGAAGTATAATCGTTCATCAATAGGCCGACTTGATAAATCGTGGTAGATTGTAAGGTGACGTGCGATACTACGGACATAGTAAGACTGCTTCTGTTCCAACTATATATAAATTTGAAATCTTACTTGGTATATTCCAACCAATGTCTTTTGTATTTTAGTTCAATGTCAACATATTACAGATTGCTCCATTTTAATTCATTCGAAAGTAAAACAGAGCATGAAAGTAATGTAGGAAAAAACGTGTACGGAATTACATACAATCATACATTATGTGCCTTTTATTATGCTAGAATTTCTTGTGGTTTTGTGCTTTACTGCTTAGAACGCTTCAAAATTGTGTATGAAACGTCTTAATCCCATAATATTGCAATACGAAAATGTTCACTTTTATGAGGTGGCGGTGTGAACAAAAACACATAGCCTACTCGTAGATTTTAGACTCGTGCGCGAATTACCAAAGCGCCTTCGCAACTGATCGGAACCTGACGTGTTATTACTGGGCCAAGACACCGCCTGGCAATCCATACCATACTTGCCAACCACCTAATTAAGGGCCTACTCGTAGATTTTAGACTCGTGCGCGAATTACCAAAGCGCCTTCGCAACTGATCGGAACCGGACGTGTTATTACTGGGCCAAGACACCGCCTGGCAATCAATACCATACTTGCCAACCACCTAATTAAGGGCCAATTGCCATATAAAGCAACTTTGCTTTGTATATTCCATAACCAAGCGGCTACACTAGTATAAAATACTAAACCAACATAATTCCTTGCAGTCTGACAAAAAATCGGTCAGGTACAAGATCAACTACTCATTCGGATTTAACATGACCAAAAAAGCTATAGAAATGAAAATGTTAATATCGCTTGTAAGTAACACTGTCACTTATTTACATTTACTAATACCCGCCGACAAGCATAAATATCACTTCCCAACTTTCTAATTCTTGTCACTTCGCATGTTTAATATAAATTAGGCGACCCCGGAACATTATCACAGATGAGTTCATGACCCACAGTTTGGGAATCACTGGTGTAAACTGTGAAGGAACTGAAACCTATGGGCACGGGGTATATTCACTTGGCTAACAAAGACAGTTCCTGAACTCTTAAAAGAACTAAACCCCAACCAGGTACACACAATACGGGAGTAACAATTTTTCAACCTTTTTTCACTTCAAAGCTTTAGATAGAATAGGATTTCCGTACAATACAAGAATTATTTTTACACTATAATACCAGGCGATAAAGAATAATTGATAAAAGGAAAAGAAATAAATACACGTTACGGAGAGTAAACAAACCTATAATGAGGAAAAACTTCAAATTTAAACAAATTTGTAAAAAATTAATATTCAAATGAAAAGCTGAAAGTAGTGGTACGTGTTCACTCAACCTGAAATGTATTAATTCACGCACACTCACTCTGGTAAAAAAATATAAGATTTTTTCAGAATCGAATATTTTCTTCGAATCGAATCTCGAATACTTGGAAGATATAAAATTGTATGTGACTTTTTTATTGTATTTTGTCCTCTAGCTAGTTAGACACATAAATTACAGTAAACATAGAATACATCACTCAGGCAGATTGCTGATCGTTCACACACAATAAAAAAACACGTTTTCATCAATAACTCATCACAGAAAAGAGTCATATATCAGAATTGCGTTGAAAAAATATGGCTTCAAGAAAAACAAGAGAGCTATGCTCAAATACATGGACACGTAGCGCCACCTAATGGCAATAATTTTGATGACGTCATAGCGAAAAAAAAAGTAATAGCCTCCTGGAGAAAAATTTTATCTTTAACCACTGAAAATTTCAAAGCAATTGGTCCAGTATTCGAAGAGAAAAGCGATTTTTTAATGATAATGACGAAAGAAAATAACAATAACAACAAAATTTTAAAACGATCGTTATGGCCACTAAACGTGTCCAAAAATGAAGAAATAAACCCGGCCATTGGCGGAAAGAAAAAAAAAACAAGATGGTGGCGATTCGAAATTTTGCTCTGAACCGATTCGAAATGCCCAGTCCTAATTACATGGCGAACCGCGCCTCACGTCTAGTTACCAATCCTTGTAAGATATAGAATTCCTTTGCCTGGTATGCATGGACTTTGAAGAAATCATAATAATCTGTAGTTACGTCAAATTACCCTGCTACGCAAGAAGTCTGGCAATCCTGTGGAACTTATCGTCCCCCACGTAGTTCGACCCCATGTAGGGTAATCAGAGGTTCGGTAGCAGTTTTGATTTCATTATACACAGTTGAAAATTATGACTCTGCGCCAAATCCGATCTTTTTAGCAAACGCGGTTAAGTCCTTCCTCTTACCGATGCGACCCCCAAGTTAATAGTTGATGGAACCATAGCTTAGGGAATCATACTCTTTTTTATTTGTATGTATGATCGAGGCCTTTTACATCAGTACCTAATATTTTCATTTACAGATAAACACTTACCAGTGGCGACACTCGACGCTTTGAGTCCAAATATTTATGCATTGCTTTATTGTAGTTATCTGTATATATATCTGATCTCTTTTTCGCGGTATAAGCATCTATATTATATATATGCAGTGATGAAATTGTCAGATGGCTTGTAAAGAGATAAAGCGAAAATATTGATCGCCTTTTAAAGGAGATCACATATCCTGTTTTGCCCGCGTTTCACAAGATTGCGCTAGGTTGTTATTTCCTAAACTGCCAATCTTTTTATCAATCTCTGGTTTTCTGGGATGATTACAGTCTGATATTTTAGTCTTGTGTTCGACAACTGAAGGTGTTGCATTGACGCTGAGAATTGAATCAGGTTCGTGAATTATTACACTATGTGTGGAAAAATTACAAACGGTCACCGATGTGTTCCATCTGACCCACTAGTGGAATTACGACTATAGTTTTTATGGATATGAATTTATATTGAAAACATCGATGAAAATAAACGTCATTATGACCCAGATTGTTACATTGTGCTTGATAATATTATATAAACTTTTAACTAGCTTTTGTAAATAAACTGTTTTTTATTCATAGTTTTTCCTATTGGGTTCTGAGCCTTCAGCTCAGTAACTAAGTCTACTTTCTGTAACTGGCCCACTCAAAAAATAATTGTATTACACTGTATCTTTTCATATCGCAATTTGGGCAATGTTTCATTTTTTAGCTTACTTCTTACTTTCAGTCTCACACCTTACCGTGTCAGTACTCTTGATCTTAGGGCGCCTATTTTTAAAAATTGTTTTAATTTCAGGATGTTGAATATCAAATTATTCGTATTTTGTCTGGTTGTTCTACTGCTTGTATTTACGGGAACAGCAATGGCCCCGCCTCCCCCACCCCCGCCACCAATGCACCATCATCAAAACTGTGAGTAAATATACCGATCATAGCCTCATAGGCCCGCAATAGGCTTGCGAAACTGGGAAAACAATAAATCATAGGCTTGCGAAACTGGGAAAATAATGCCAAATCGGAAATTGTGGTTGATTGTGTTACTGACTAAATTTTATATTTTCAAATGCATGTTCTTTTCTTAATATTGGTATAAACAATTTGACTGAAGAAGTCTGTACTAATAAAAGGTTACAAAATAAACTTTGTGAAAGCGTGATATTTTCAAACCAGTCAGTCTTGACATATATAAATTTTATTTACTTCTTTCAGTTCTTGAAAATAATCCTGATTTGCTGGAAACTTGGTGAATTTTCGACTGGGATCTTAACTACGATATTTTCATGCTGCAAGTGGAACATATTTTAATAAAGAACCTATGTTATATAGCAAGTTATGTGCAATGTGTTTTCAATATGAGGTTGATGTGTTAAACGCGGTAGAGTATGCGCATATTGCTAGGCGTCGGGAACAGTTTCATCATTGCGCCACTGATTACACTTCCGTGGGTTTGGTTGAAATTCGTGTCGTGGCTGAGTTGTGTATGTGCTAGAAGATATTGAAGCGAAAATATTGATCACTTGTCAAACGCAGCATCATATCCTGTTTGCCGCGATTTGACAAAATGAAAGGGAGTTGTGTATATCCTTTAAACTATCAATCTTATTTGCCCTGTTTCTTCTATCAGTAAATGTTAGAACCTGGTGATAATGAACGCATTTTCGTCTCAACTGGACTGCGTTGACGCTGTGAACAGAAGCAGGTGAGGGAATTACGATAAGTTTTCATTATTTAAATGAGAGATAGGACAGCCTAATATTATAGTACACAAGGCTATGAATCCAAAGGCGTTGTGCTAACCGTTAGCACAGTGATTTATATTAACTCTAAAATGACAAAGCCAACACAGATATCATTGATGGGAAATATTTAGTATAGCGGAGTCTGGTTTGGGGCAAATCGTTTTGAATGTGTTTTGAATGTTGTCAAAAATGCGTGAATTCGATGTCATTTTGGGTTAACGGGACGGGTTAAGGTTGTACAAGTCATTGGAAAAAACGTATATCCGCTTTGCACGCCACTAAATACTGTTCAGCATGCGACTTGAAAGCATTTTGAATTCAGCATAACACGCCTATCGACGCCCACCACTCCAACTTCTGATTTGGAATTAATTCAACCATTTGTAACTTGTAATCCATTATTGGATACGGAGTGGACCTATATAGTTTTTCTAAATTTTGGGGAGCTTTTGTACAAATCGCCTGTCAAAAACACCTCGCCATAGCTCAAAATAATCAAATTATTGATTATTCAGTTAAAGTTAGGAATGCAATTTCGCGGGAAGTTCAATTTTTCAATCATTCCTAACCCCAACTGGATGATTACTAATCTGTTATTCTAAAAGTTGCGAGGGTGTTTTCCTTAAATTCCACATTTTGCATTAGTGGCGGCCGGCGGGGCTTTGTATAAAAGATCCAATTTTTGTTATCGCTGTTGAAATTTTTTTTAGATGAACCAACTAATAGACAAACCTTTTAAACTGTACAAAACCCCGAATCCATACATATATTGGTAGCCAACCCTTACATCAGTGGCTCTCAGTCACGATTTTTTTTGTTTTTAGGGGAAATTTTTACCTTGTATTTGTGTGTACTGATATTTTTCACTTATCAATTATTACTGTAATACATATGTTTGCTTCCACCTTCAATAATTCGAACAGTAATAGAAACCAGATTGCGAGTTGTGAGTTTCTAGCTAATGATGCATTTGATTGAAGGCACGAACACCATGAGGTTTGAAACAGTAAAAAAAATACTTATTTTGCACGTTGATAGGCATCATGGCGAGAAATCACGATTCCGGTATTGTCTCCAATCAAAACATGCCAGACTCTGACATCACAGCCCTAATTTAAAAATATCGATTTTATTTTTACGTTCCAAACTTCTGTTTATATATTTCTATTCTCTCTTTCACCAAGGTCAGACCTCTTCAGACAAATTCAGTGATTCACGTCCTCTTTTTAGAATTTGTCAAGTCTCTCGCCCCACCTTAAAAATAACTAGCTAATAATAAGCTACAAAAAACAGATAATAAGGCGAAATCTTGTTTTATTTAAAGAAAATACGTAAATGGGACGTAAATATCCAAAATAAAAAAAAGTTAAATATTTAAAATAAGGCGGGTAAGATCAAATCTAACGAATATATTTATTTTCAATTAGCTTCGCGCCCCCTCAAAAAATTCTTGTGCCCCAACGTTTGAGAACCACTAGGTTAAACTATTTTCAAACAAGTCATTATTGTTTTATATCTATTTTATTTACTTATTACTTATCGATTTTATTACTTATCGATTTTAATTCGTAAGTATGTTGATAGGTATTTGTCTGTCTGTTTGTTTGTCTCTTGTCTGTCTGTCTTTTAGATACACCCGATATTTCACGAAAGCGAGATTGAATCTGCTCCAGATTTTGCATGTGCATTCATCATATCGTACCAAAAGCCTATTGATTTTGGATGAATTATGTCGTATAATTCGCGAGTTATTAATTAATTAGTGATGGGGCACAAGGTGTCACTATGGAGTAAGAGCGCTGTTTTGGGGATCCCCTAACTTTCGATCGATAAGTCTTCGGTGTCTGACCGATATACTTATTTCAGTTATTGAAGATGAACCTGATATGTTGGAGATTTGGTGAATTGCCATCTGATACCTGAAATACGATATTTTATTTGGTGCATGTTTATGGATATCTACTGGAGGAAATATGTAATAAATGGAAGTTACGTGTCGTGTGTTTGATTTTTGAATGTAATATATACACATAATATATTATACTTTAGTACACCTGTATGATATTTATATGGTAGATTATGCGAATCTGAGCAACCGTTGGGAACGTTCTCCCGCAGTTGATATTCATTTGGTGGCTAATCTGGTGACTGAAGATTGCTGGAATCCTTGCCGCCAAAGTACCTGGCAGAATAGTTTGTTGGTTACAGCTTCTGCCACCATAAAGTCCATGCGAATAATAAAATTACCTATTCCCATATCCGACGTTAACTGATAAACTGACAAGAGGCCGTGGTTCGACTTAGATTAATCCAATCCATTGGCTCCCCTCTCCACAGGGATAAATATGAAAATTCCATCCTACGTGCGATATATGACTATGAACTTATGTGACTTCCATTTTTAATGCCCGAATATATGAACACAAAAGACAAATGCTCTATAAAATTTATTCTCATATATTTTATCAGAAATGTTATTTAAATTACGAAAACAGCAAATATTCGGTAGAATAACGGACTGCAAACGACTCAAAAAAAAATATTAGCAATGTTCTTCCGAAGATATTGTCCAACTTTAGTACTGTACGGAAAATTTGAAATAAATTGGTCAATTATTCGCGGTTCAAATCTCATGCAACCACCCTATTGGGGTATGAATTTAAACCTCTCAATGACCTCCGATTTTAATACGGGTGTATTCATGTGTCACAGGGGATTCATATAGTATTGTATTAAATTCGGTAAAAGAACTTTCGAGCAACTAATGTCGAGTATAAAAGTGTAGGAAAGAAGGTCAAAACTTGAGTTAAACACCGGTGAAATATAACAAACCCAGTTTAAGATATATTGAGAACTGAATTTATATCAAAATTAAATTGTAACAGTGCTTTATGAGCGTCCTGTATATTTTTAAGGCTTTGTCAGTATTTACTTCTCTCAAAAACAGCCAAAAATACTTCTTCGGAAGATTTATACCTGAAATTAGGAAACGCACCAGTTTGAGTTTTCGCTTTTAGTCTGTGATACACAAGTGCGAGCATATCAACAAAAGACCCTAAAACACAGAATAGTTTTTAATGCGGTACGGCGAGTATTTCCAATTCCCAATTTATCATCCATGTCTATGACGTTATACTACCCTAACAGCTAGCTTCTGCGAAAGCAAAAATCGCATGGTATGAGGTCAGTAACAAAACTACTACAAATCCAAGGTTGAGTAAATGCGCGATTTCACCCAATTATTGGTATCTGGCCCTCCCGATTTAAAAGTTGCACACCCTTGTTTTATATCATGGGACAATTTCAGATTCAGATATGTATTTTTCGTCGTGCAAAAACATTGTACATTTAAACAAATAGTAAAAATTAAATGAACTCATTGAACAAAAAACGTACAAAATTTAACGAGGGATAGCGAAAAGAACATCAAGAGTCATCATGTCAGCGACACCATTATAGAAGCAGAATAAGGAAAAAAATAAAGAATTAAATCAGCGAAAGAATTAAAACGATTTGGGAAATAAAATGTACGTGAGAACAGCACAGAAAGTGGGCATATGGATCATTGTGCTAAATTCTTGCTGTGGGTATTGTTTCAGTTGTAGGCAAAAACCGTCACAAATACTTGAATCTAGTTTATATTTTTATTACTTATCACTAAAAGATGGTTAAAATCCGCTAAAAACATTTATTTTCTTTTACAAATTTCTATGAAACGTGATATTTCACCGTGCTGTTTTATTTCAATTGCGAAGAAACGCTTTTTAGTTTTTCACGGTTGTCCGCCGTTTTCAGTCAAATATCCGGGTAGGCTGTGCCTGCTGAACCACTGCTCCATAAATTTTTCTAATAAAAGCCCTTCTGCTCACTTTTACAGCACCATACAGCAAGAATGAACTTTTGGATGTGGATATATGTTCTTGTGTTGTTCGTAATAGAAATGACTATTGAAGACCAGCCAAGACCGGTTCCCGCTGGTTTATTTTAGGAAACGAATAATTAGAATAACCATTTATTGTATTTGTTGTATATATTATTCATGTTTTTATTGTATGTATATTTAATAAAACTTTTATGTCAAAAATTGAGTAGTCTATGTTACAAGTTTAATATTGATAATCCTAATGTTGCACTTTCGGAGTTTGGAAGACTAATATTAATATTATTAATACTAATACTGATATTATTATTAATCAACATTCGATTTTTGGCCAGTTTTCCCGATTTCCCAGTTTTCTGCGTTTTCATTGTTTTGTCCATGTTTTGAAGCAGAAATCAAAATAAACTTATACCTAATTATGATGTTGAAACTTTTATTTGGCCGACCCTCTGGTGCAATATGAAAATTTTGAATTGTCACTTTTCATCATGTTTCGTGTGAATTTATATTATACTTCGATTTGATTAATTACTTATTGTCTCTAATTAATAATAGAGATTATTTTCGAATTTTGTTGAAATGATGTTGCAAGTTTTAGTTTCAGGAATTATTACCCGATCAATTTATATTTCATTTGGTCATGGCAATATCGCCAATCGTTGGCAAAACTTGTATATTGTTGCGGTTCTCGACTATTCTCGACTATCTCGCGTATTTTAACTTATGCTTTTGCACAAAATAGACTAATTTCATTGGGTCTGAATTGGAAACTTTTGCTTTTAATAATGCGGTGAACACTAGTTTGGACTGTTGATTTTTAGTGTTCGCTCAAGAGAAGGCCTCGCGCCATTGTCTGTAGCAAGATAACGGGTGGGTGAACACTGGAATGCGAATAGCTTCGTACAAATGGTGATGCATTAGAAACACTCATCCTGAAGTAAAGAAACGTAACGGGCACTGAAATACCAAATGCTACTGAAATTACTGAATAAATTTGGTCGTGCATTATGAGGCAGTAAATTTCGATTAACGCATGTTTTGGTGAAGTTCAAATCAAAACTATTACCAGCTTTAACAGCACAGACGAAATGCTCATTATACCGGTGCAAAGAAGATCAAATGCAATTAATTGACGCAACCGGAAAATAACTGCGGGATCAATTCCATTACAAACAGGAAAAGCAACAGTGTTGCAAGCTTATGCAGGCAAATTAGGGCGTTGAAGATTTATTCAGTTTGAGGCGCGAAAGGAATGACACATCTGCACGAGAAGCTGAACTACTCAATAGTAAGTATATATTTCAAATATAATTTGAGTATTATCATTATTTAATGGTGCTTAACTGTCGCCGTTTTGTGTAACAGTAAGGCCCACATGACGATCATTAATACACTGAACCAAGGCTTTAGAGTAGTATAGCACTATAATCACTAATAAATATTGGGTGTTGGAATATTTGACCAGATAAATTGTGCCAGGACGTGAATTTTGTAGTGAAAAACTTTGGAATCAACCAGCAGTTTCGTGCAAAACGGCAAAAATTTCTGCAATTATGTTGTACATTGTATTCACAGCAAAATTCAAACCCACACTCGTTGAAAAATTCGAAAATAGCCAATGAGTTCAGTGAAAACTCAGAAAAAATGTTTATTTCAACTATTAGTTGGGGTTGCGCGAGACTAGCTATAATGCAAGGAAGTGTTTGCAAGAATACATTTACTATTCTAAATCTCGCTGACGAAACGCAACAAAAGTACTTTATTAGTATCCCGCAAGGCTCTTGAACTTCTGAGTGAATTCAAAGTTTTGTATTCTAGAAAACTAAAAATGGCAGACATGAAAATATTGGTGATATATTTGATGATCGCGATGATGCTTTTTGCTGGAACATTAGCCGAGTCCTGGGCCCCACCACCAGCATCAAACAAATTCATTAAGTGAGTATTTTTACTTGTGCCTGAATAAGTTTTTATGGGCAAGTATATTGCTATCTAGTCGTTTATATATAGTGGGGTGGGTAACGCCAATTCTCATTGGTTTGTTGTATATGCATATCATGTTGGTTTTCATTCTCCTATTACTATATATGCCTAAAAGGTATATTTTCATTTTTTCGCAACGTTTAATATAATATAGGGTGTCCATGGAGTCTTAAATTTTTTTAAAATTGCAAAGGAAATTCCTCGATATCATATATTGTTTTGGCCTCAACATATATGCTAAATAAAGAAAAAATATTCAAACATGTACTGATTGAAAAACAACAAACCTGGTTAACATATATTGAAATTGTGAAGGGACATTATGGACACACTGTATTAGCTAGTGCTCATGCCACTCGCACGATGATCTTTCATAAAATTCGAGCAGTTTACAATGTGGGTAGAAATGTACAAAAATGCTATAGAATTGAAAATATCATTAATGCAAACACGAAGTACAGTTTTCGATACTCTCGTAGTTTGTGCACCAGGTTAGGGTTAGGCCATAATTTTATTCCGAATTTTCTTATTTTAGTTCTATTACGAGTTCAGTGACTGTCTATGTTAGCCAAATGAATATCCCCCTGCCTATAGGTTTCAGTCTCTTTACAGAGCTTGATGTGAAGTAGGCGAACAAAATTAGTTACCTCCATATTGGTACACATACTTCTGGAGCGTCAATATTCTCCCGTAAAACAATAAAATTCCTTCGCAGGGAAGATCCCCTGCCTGCTTGAGAAACGCTGGTGAAAGCGCATCCTTCCTTATGCAGCAAGTCTCTTGAATTGAATAAAATTTTTCATGTCTACACTAAAATCACGACATTATTCTTTGTTTGGGGGAAAGCGTGATTAAACGATTTGAAACTTTATTTCGCTTTGTGTTGCAGCTACAATGCCGATGATGGATTGAAGGATTGACTTATTCATGATCCGGTAGGTGGCGCCACGTCGTTGTACAATTGTTTCTATGTTAACTGGGAAAAAGATTAGATTATTGGACAACCCTATTTCATTATAATTTATACCGCAATTATGTATATGTGTGTGTTTAATATTGTGTATCTCTGTATTGTGTAATAATGTATTCTAATGAACGGACAATCGTTACGGAGTATATCAAATTAAAATGATTATCCCCCTTACTTTTCATTCGTTGCATTATTCCTTAACTTTGGACTGTGTTTTCTTTCTATTATATAGAACAAGTGAAAATGAATTTCACGTTGATCATTATTTTTTTACTCTATTCACTCGTCAAGTAGCCCGAATGACATGCTGACACCGCCAATTAGATCATTAACAAACAAATAAACGGGTTTGTTTATACGATTTCGCAATCAATTGTTAAAACTTTGAATCGGAGAATCGAAAATATAAATATATATTCCCATTCAACACATTTTTGTTTCATGCAGGGGAAAGGGAGGGATATGTGCAAAGCAAAGGCAATTTATAATACTATTTGGCGTACATGGGAAAATACGAATATCGCGTTATGTATGTAGGCTCTTCTGTTTTTAATATGGGGTATATGCTTCATGTGATATGCATTTGTTGCAATACTTTCCGACTTCTGAATGTTTTATCTCTCTTACTTCATCTTATTTAATATTTAATTGCTCTATTTAATCGAGTAATATTGAATGACCTGCTTACAGTATTAACTGGGTCATTAACAAAGCGAATAAACGAGTTGTTGTTTACGACTTCGCATTTAATTGTTAGAACGTATGTTAGATATCCTGAACGGAATTTAAAATTAGATGGTCAACAAGAAAAGCGCTAGTGCTTATCTGTAGTGAATTTATAACATAATACCAGAAAGACTTGTGTAGTGAGCTTGAAGGTGTGTAATATTATGTTTCAATGGGGGTATCTGAGATACCAGTTCGTGAAATTGTGGTTACATAAACTTATTAAAACTGAAAATTCGGTTGTTTGTCTGTATCATGATTCAGGTAAAGGTTCAATTGAAGAAAAAAAAAATACAGTTTCATGTAGTGAATTTCTAGCATGGGACAAAAGGAAATTGCATGGAAAGCATGAGTATAATGACAAAAATGCAATAGCAGCAGTTGAATAAATTGAGAAAGTTCCCCGGTAGCCACGAAGCGTCAATTTAAAAACAACTTTCAAAAACGGTACTTTCTTTGTATTAAAATTCATCTGTGGTCGAAAATAGCAAAAGACTCATATAACAATATAAAGGTCTTTTTGATTGAAATCTAGTGCTAAGTGACAGCCGAACGCTGTATTGTAGTATTCAAAGCGTTCTAGTCTCCCTCTTGCTTGCGTTTAAATAAAACAACTAATACCCTGGCCGGAAAAGGCGGGATAATTTGTATAGTCTCCAATGCGCCCTTATTTTTGACATCTATTTTGTTTCTGCGAAAAATATCATTTTCATAATAATACCCATATATTGATGTATTATGAAAAGATAGAAATATGTAATATTCATATTTTATTGTTTTTAACTCCGTTTCAGCACTCAAGTAAATCTCTCAATTTATTTTTTAATTTATTTAATTTACTTCTCATTTGCATTTACATTTAGAAATGTTTTTGCCCTTCTGCAGGGGAAAGGCTAGAGCAGGGGTGGGCATGGTTTATAAACCACGTGCCAAAAAATTTGCCAAACTAGACTGGAGGGTCATATAAGTGTGATGTTAAATTAACATTTTATGAACAATATTTACAGTGTTACAAAGGAAAAAGTGAAAAACAATAAGCCTCGTGTTAAAAATAAATTTAATTGCAATCTCTACAAATTCCTTGAGCGATTTTTAGCTGAAACATTAAAATTTGCTTTTACCTTGGTTGTGGCAGCATCAGACGGGCCAGATTGAATTACCTAACGGACGGATTTGGCCCGCGGGCCGTAGTTTGCTCATGTCAGGGCGAAAAAACTGTAATAATAAAAGTGTTTTTAAGACCATTTATCAATTCATAAACATTTTTCGATCTTATTCCGCATGACCCTTAAGTCTGAGTGTAAAAAAATTTTGACAGCCTGTCGTTTTTACACTGTTTATTTATTATGCAGATACTGCTACATTTTGAGGCAAATAAACATACATACATCCAACATACCTCGATCCAAAATTTGCGAGCGTTCAACATTTTCACGAGGACCTTTCTTATATTTTTTATTCTACAGGCGTTTTATTTTATTCGATAGTCTTATTCGACGTTACATTGGTATTTTTATCTAAATAAATAAATTCAAACTTCAGCATACACAATGACCTGTACAAATATTCTGATGAGATATTTTCGAATTTTCCTCTTTGCGATGCTATTTGATTTAATCATAGCAGTTGTTCGTCCACCGCCACCTGCCTCAAGTAAGTCCATTTTAGATTTTTGATTTGTTTTGTTCTGCTGGGTATGCTTTATTTATTTATTTGGGTGATTTCGAATCTTTGATAAAAGGTTAGTCAAGTCGATTGAAAGACAAGTCTTCCCAGCAGTCCCTATTAATTGATTTAACCTCAGATTTCAATGCGTTAATATTTTTGCTACATTTGAATCCCTTGGACACTAGCGTGAAATTGTTTAATTAACTTTTTAATTGTTACGTCAAACTGTGGGATATTTATTGATTGACCCCAAAATTTGACCTCCCTTTGTTCTTGCACTATTTCAAATTTTATTTTATTTTTATTGAAAACAAACCCAACAATTGTTAATCATTATTTATATGCATGCTATCGCTTCTCCAATCATAATTAAAAAAAATGGTTGTCTGAAGAGGTCCGACCCCGGTCAGACGAAACGTACAGAAATACATTTGTGTTGGTGTGCAGTACGACTCTTGAATCAAATGAAAAATTTTTTTCTTCTATTTTTTTCACATAGGCTCGTTTCAAGCAGGGAGAGGAGGATTAATGTCAGGTTTGTGGAATATTTTAAATTTTAACGGTATTTTTGATTATTATTGGCTTGAGTTACGTTTTACCATTCGACTAGTACGTGGCGAAATTACTCCATTTTACGTATAGCTTTGTTCAAATAATGGCCACTCTTACCTCTTAAGTATATGGGACCGATCGGGAGGTTGTCTGTAACGCATGGAGCGCGATAACCCTTATGTTATGAACCAAATTGGGCTGCTTAAGATGTTTGTATATTATATTGGTGGGCGCAGGAATTGAAACTTTTTTTAAGCGGGCACTGTTGGAAAAAGTTTAGAGAAAATAAGATTGGCAATATGATAATTATAATAAAACCCAAATTCCATTCAATTTTGCCCACTTTATTAGATTAAAGGGTACGTTTTCCGTATACAGGCAGATAATTAAGACCATTTTTTAAAAGTTTTTTGTTGCAAGTTCAGACCTAAAATATTTGAATTAAGTTTATGTATATAAAGAAATGTGGACACCCCTTTGCTTAAACAGCCATTAAAGTAACAATTGATAACATAAAATCGCAATAATGTCATAGAATAAGTGTTTCAGGGCAGTATTTTTGCTAGCATCTCAAACTGCTATGAAAATAACAGTTTACAAGATGTAACGGTTTATTGTGATAATGTATTTTACATTTGTATTCCCAATGTTAAATGTAGTATTGCACTCAATTTACATATTTTCACACAAATATTTTAGATGAAAAATTTAATGAAGAATTTAAAGACTTTTGACCTGCTCAGATGCAATTGGAAGAATGTTATTTACAGCTTTTCTTTTCAATTTAATATTGCATTTTTGCGGTAAGAAGATTCATATTTATACTAAATGCCCTGTGCATTCAATCAAAGGATGTTTTGTTGTTTTAATAAATCTGTGTTTATTGCTCGTGCTTGTTTGGATAATAAATACGATATAATTGTATAGATTGCAGTTTCCCATTCGCCAGAAATATTATCGACTCAATTATTCTAGCTTCTACGACTGAAAATACAATTTCTTCTCGTCATGTGTTCAATAATCAACGAATCTAAATATAAATGACCCTTTAAGATATTTATCTTTACTTGTTATTGCTGTAAACTGCTTGTCTGAGGATTAAGGATGCCAAGTATGAGTACTTACAGGTATTCGATTCTTATCCGATTCCTAAATTTTCGATTCCGATTCTCGATTCCTAATCTCGATTCCTCGACATATCTTACCGAAAACACATACACACCTAAGCAATACCATATGAAATCAAACAAGAGTACGATGTTCAAATTCTGAACTGCCAAGAGAGCCGGAACTAAGTAGTATGGGTATTCAATTTGTCACAAGAGACAAAATCGCACAAAAAACGAATCCCTCAGAACCCTCGGAGATTTTAAAAATAAATAAACGTTGAAGCTTTCAATCGAAATATTATATATAGTGAAGTTGGCGTCGTCGTATCAACTCAACATAGCAGAGAAATAGTTTACACATATATGTGAAGAAATTGCCACAAAACTTTACACATTCTTTTTAAACCAAGTTTTAACCTCGAGAATCGATGCTAATGCATCGGAATCGATTCTAGTCGATCCCGCGAAGAATCGATTCTGTAATCGAAACCGGATTCGATTCCGCCATCCCTACTGAGGATGTCTTACTTTGGTCAGACAAAACATTACAAAAATGCATTTGAGTCAGTGTGCAGCAAGACTCTTGAATTGCGTGGTATATAACCCGTATTTTCTATTTTCTGACGCCTAGGGATTGTCTTGTTGAATTGTTGTTGTTTGAAACATCGCTGTTGTTAATATTGCTCGTCACAATTAATTGACCAATCATTTTCAATTTATCGGTACTAATAGATTGTTGAAAATTATATCACCAATATCTGTTTTCGACCGCGACCGACTAAAATCGCCAAAATAGCTCGCGATCGACTGTTGGTAATAAGGGCATAGCCGAAAACAAATGGGTATTGAATATGCAGATAACTACTACAGAAACGCTTTCAAAAATTTCACCGCAACCAATAAGCTTGACTCCATGGCGCATTCTTCCTGAAATCACCACAAAAATTTGTATTTTTTTTTGTATTTTTTATTTATCAAACTCAAATATTGTATGTGCCTATCGTATTTCGACTGTGTGCGAGTGCACTACAGTATTGTATTCTTCCTGTTTTGAACATGCGCTGCATGAAACTGGTTCAAGGCAAACTTTGGTATGTTATTAATTTCACTCAACATCAGACGCGATCGACTATACTCGAGAACGAACGGGCGATCGAGAACGGGATCGACGTGTTGGCCACCCCTGCGACATAGGATAGTGATTCGTCGTTATATCGGTTTCTCTCTCCCCTGGGAAAATATGAATCAGAATCGAAGGCCAAGTTTGGTATGTTTTGAAAATAATTGCTGTTATCAAAATTCAATTATTTTTTTTGGAGTCGGAGTCGAAATTTTCATGAACCGGAGCCGGATTCAATTGTATAGATTTCCCGAATCCCACAACCACATCAATGCTCGCAATTTTTTTATCAGTACTTCATTTATAAATAATTTAAAACCTACGGCTATCGCTAAACAGAAACGATAACTGTGTCATGGTGTTTTTAATCCTTTTCTGTTCTTCTGTGTATTTCCGATTTCTAATTTTGCATATAACACGTCAACCACGTTTTGTTAAATTTAGAAACGCCAAACCAGTTTAAGATAATGATGTATTCTACGTAATTTCCCCACATTTTAGAAGAAAATATTATTGACCACCCAGAAATGCCATAATTGCCAATTTATTTAGTCAGAATTTTAACCAAAATACTGAGTATTAGCGCAATGACGAATTTGTGGAATTTTTATCCATTATTCCTTCATACAAAAATAACACAGCCACGATTAAAAAAAAAATGCGAACTATCAACCTTTTAAATATCTAGAATAGCTTCCGCCACCAATCCAAAAGCATGAGAAGTGGGAAAAATACCCTCGCTATGTTTTTCAAATTAGAATTAGTGATTATCCAGTTAGGGTCAGAACTGATATGATAATTTTAATCACCAACACAAACTGCATTTTTAATTTTAACTGAATAGTTAAATATAATATTCATGTTTCAAGTGTTGGCAGGAGTGGATTCTGCCGGAGGCTTTGTACAAAAGATCCAAAGGGAACAATCACTTGGCACTATACATCGTAAATAGTTGTATAACACTCAATATTAACTGGTAGAAATAAGCGCAATCGTGAGCATACACTACTCATCAGTATTATTTGCTAGCTTATATTTGGGAAAAATAAGACTTAGCGCAAAGCTGTATCGAACACTACAGGCGAAATAGTAGAGTACGTAATTACAGTCTATTCTTGCTAGGCAGGATAGGTATTATTTTAGAAGTGTCGTTATTTACATTGTACGATTTACAGCCTTTGATGACCTTTGTTCAATCGCTCGTTTCGAGGTAAAGACACATCAAGCTTGTACCGCTAATAATCGATGGTCTCTAAGCCCTATTCGAACCAGCCAAACTTGATAGTGTTTAATAAAAGACTTCACTACACCCATGACAAGAGATTATCGCCATTCGCATTAAGGTCGTTTCTTGATTACGCAATCACGATTCACGATACGATATTGTGGATTTGCCTCTTTTCTATTTATAGCTTGACTTGAAATACCAAAAATCTCTTGCCCGTCGATATCCACCATTACCTGTCGCTATAGAATATGTAGGTTTTGAATAAACTGGCTCTTGATGCCTTACGGTTATGCTATATCGTCATATTAGGGTTGAAAATTTTAACGGAAGACATTTCTCACTTGCACTTCTTACTAGCATGGCCGACTCACAACTTGATTCATTACGATTTTTAAGCTGACCGACATTGAAAAAAAATTATGCTTGCGAAAATCGAAGTTTAATCGATCATATGTCAACTGAGAATCAGTTTAAACTGAATATCCCAATCAACTAAATTTTGTTTTGAAATTTGTTTTTGCCAAAATGACGCTTGTGACTTTGACATTATTCGTGACTGGAATATTTCACAGGCAATTTCATCGTTGACTACGTGTACAAAATTCACAATTTGTGTTGTGATTCGTCCGAAATTACGGCAGTGCGGGAATCTGCTAAGCAACGAGAATTAGGTGTATTGCTTCAAAGAACAAAGCGATTCTGAAAAATAGACACAATACGATGACGCTACATGTCTCACTCGACAATTCAGTGCTCTAAAAGTTTTTTGAAATAGGCCTGGGATATTTTTAGTAAGCCCGCAGAAGGCTACAAGAAAAATGATTGCTGATATTGAGCAGGGGTTTGGTTTGGAAGTTGAACTTGACAAGTTGATAAATAGACACAAAGATTACAATGGTCGTTGACACTTTTACTGTATTGTTTATATTAATAAAAATATATTTATGATACTCGAAATTATGATCAGAGGTTTTGTGCGCCTTGAGATACCATTTTACCCATGGAAGTATAAACAACAAAAGAATATATGTGGACACCACTGTTCTGGGTAACGTTGTTTATTAGGTACTCTCAAAGTATGTGAACCAAGATGGCGGACACCTGAACGTAGTATGTGTACCAGGTTAAGGTTAGGCCATAATTTCAAGTATATCTACTACGGGAGGATATAGGATAGTGATTCGTCTTTATACCGGCTTCTTCAAACAAACACGATTAAAAAAAAGGATAAAGACGCCAACTATCAGCTTCATAAATAACTTGATTAGCTTCCACCAATACAAAAACGTAAGATTTGAGAAAAATACACCCGCCACGTTTTTAAATAGAAAATCAGCAATTGTACAGTTAGAATCAGGAATGATTTGAAATACGTTTAGTTTATATTTAGAAAAGCAATCCGCTGAATCGAAGACTAAAGGGCAAATAGTAGAGTACGTAGTTACAGTCTATTCCCGCTAGCCTCCCACTGGTATTATTTTCAAGTGCCGTTGTAACTCGCGTCGAATGAGGTATCTTTATTTACATTGTACGATAGCTCGTTGCGTCCTAATATAGCAATTTATTTTATATGTGTGGTCATAAAAATAAAATGAAATGTAAAGGGTGTGTGTAGTATGAAATGTAGGACCGAGTTTGAACAATCTCAATCGCAGGCGACAAAACAAATTCAATTCGACCATCACACTTGAAAAGTATACAATTAAAATTTTGCACATTCTCCCAAGAGATCGGGGGAATCGCGACAAAATATATATTGTCAAAAATATGGAAATATAGATGTCGTAAAGCAATGGTTCTCAAATTTTGTGTTGAGACGCCTTTGCAAAAACTCTCTGGGCATGTCACGCACCGTTGAAAACAAATTGCTAGAGACACTGGAAAGCAAGTTTAGTAAGCTTCATGGGACTTCGCAAAAACTTTCATTTTAACAAATTGTATTTGCGACCCACGTGTGTCCAAATATTTCGTCTAAATACTAATGTCCTATTTAATTGTCCAAGAGGTCACTGTATCACGCTTGTCAGTCGATCTTTAACAAACTAAGTTTTCAGCTAAAACCTAATACGCGATCTTGATGTCAATATATTTTAGCATTGCTTCTCAATATTCATGATATACTGATCGGGCCCAATCAGGTTTTTTCTCATTCAGTTCACGGTATTTAATCCCAAAATAGTATCTGGTTTGAACTCCGAATATTGCCTAAAATAAAGCATACATTATTCTAAATATATTACTCACTGTTTTCTATCAATTTGTCGATTTTTCAAATCCAAAATTAAAAGAAATAAATAAAGGATTATAATGATTCCGAAGATGCGAAAGATATCAAAGAGATTGAAAAGTAACCAATATAGGAAAGTGAGACAAGGGGCACGGTGGAAAATCACCTTCTGCACTTATTTTATATCCATATTCAGGGATTCATTTTGAAGTTTGATGACCTCCGGTGAGCCCGAATGTGATGTTAATGGAGTTTTTAACAATTATCTAGAATGGAAGTTACAGGACTCAGTATTAATTAAAATTAGGCATAAACCGAAAGTAAAACAATAAATTTATTTCAGATTTGATTAAAGGAATCAAAAATATAG